TACTTTAAACTTATAATACATGGCCCTCACAAATTAGATCAAGAGCTAATCTTTTTTTTAGAAAATAATTTGGGGTGTGCCATACAGAAATAAAATCCTTTAATTTATAGCCCTCATATAAATACAAAATTAGTTTAGAAATCCCTTGAACCTTCGTAGTTTGCTTTAGGCGCGTCAATTAAATAATTATCATAGCTACGGGTACGGTTCCTGTGACGTAGTTTGTGACGCCTAATTACTAAAATTCGGGGGTACATTTATGTGACCCGGTCACACTTTAATCTTTAAAAATTGAACATGTTGTAGATCGTGGGTACGGTTCCCATGACATGATTCGCAATATGTAACAATAATTAAATAAAAGTGGTTATAAGGTAAAAAATGCACAATAGGTTAAAACATGTAATAAATCGGATAATAGGACAATTTTAATAATTTAAGCGATCGTGCCAGAACCGCGGAACCCGTGAATGCCTAACACCTTCTCCTAGGTTAACAGAATTTTTGGTTTCGCAGACTTTTAAAATAAAGTCGAAATTTTCTCGATTTGGGATTTTAAAATAAATCGGTGACTTGGGATACCAAATAAACTATTCAAGTGGCGACTCTGAAAATTAAATAAAATAATCCCATTTCGAATAATGTCACTTTAATTGGAAAAACTCTCTTATATCCCTTCGGGGTGGTAAAAAAGGAGGTGTGACAGCTCTGGCGACTCTGCTGGGGATAATAACCCAGAACTTTTGTTCCGGGTTTAAGAATTCGAGCTTAGAATAACTGTTATAGTTGGCTTTATTTATTATTTGATTTTTTACATGTTTGAACCTAATGTGCTAATTGCCGCTTTTTACTGCTTTGATATTATTTGAACTGTATATAAACTGTTGCGAAACCCTTCTCTTCTCATCTTCGGGGATGTGCACGCTGGCGTGACTCCCTCTTCTGTTAGTATCATACCTTAAGTAAGAAAGAGGCTCAGACAAGTTACAAAGCCGGATGACCTTTTGGTTCCCGGTACGTAGCCCATTCCTCGGCTCGAGTTGTACGCTCGGGTACACAAAGTCTAGAACAATATACCCAGGTTTTTAAACTTAGAATAACTCAGCCTTATGCCGGATCCCTAGTAGGAACGTTTGTTTTCATCATGTGCATTTGACTTAGGGGACTCAACACAGGGGTTGGGTCCGTCTAGGACAGGTGGGCCCCAGAATCAAAAGACCATCCTGATGCATTTTTTACGTGCTACTTGTACAAAATATTTGCTTCGGTTTGCATGTCGAGCGGCTGCTAGAATAGGGAGAAAAATTGGGAAAATTGAGCTATGAGAGAGATAATTACTCGCCGTTGAAAAAATCTGGTGTCCAAAATATGCCGTAACTTTGCCGAAATTTTGAAGAAAAAAAAAGAGGAAAAAAAAAAGAGAATAAAATGGGGAAAAAGAATTTGTTTCAAAAGTTTCATGTCTTGTTATGTCAAAACTGCCCGAACTACGCAAGTTTGATTCTCACCGGATGTGGGATACGTAGGCAACCCTCACCGGGTCCAACTCCAATTTTGCAAAAAATAATCCAAAAAGAAAAAAAGAATACGTTGTTATTTTGTCGTAAATAAGTTAGATGATGCCGTTCTTTTCTAAATAGTCAAGACGTCCCCATAAGGGCGCCGGAAGGTTGTTTTTGCAAGAATAGCCACCGAAGATTTTTTAGTGAATTTTTGCTACCTAGCAAGCACAGCCCTAAAATTCTCCTTTGCGAAGTGCTAAAGGGCCATATTTGCAAAAAGTAGCCGTGTTGTCTAAATTTTGTGAAATTGACCTCTTTTGTAAAAAAAATCACTTTGTTTTAAACCAATCGCCTTAATTTAAATGTGTAGAATAAGCACAAATCAAAATCTGTCAATGAAGGTCATGACCAAAATTCCTTTGGAGCTGTACATGTGGTGGCAAGATCTGGGTGAATCAGGACAAGATGTGGTCAATCATCACTTGGGGGGTCTCACTGGTTTACTGAAAATCAAGCCTAGAGGAGACATAATAAAAGCCTTGGTTACATTTTGGGATCCCGCTCACAATGTGTTTTATTTCTCGGACTTTGAACTTACGCCCACCTTGGAAGAGATGGCCGGGTATATTGGGAATACTGAAGCTCTAAGACACAAATATTTGGTCGCCCCAAGAGCTGTCACTCCGCACAAGTTTCTAGATTTGCTGAAGATAAGCAGGGGGTCCAATACCCAGATTTGGCAGCCGGGTTTTCCACTCCACAGTTCATATACCAGCGATACGGGCACATAGGGAGGTTCAACAATCCAGAAAGCAAAATTTGCAGTAAGCGGAATCGACTGAAATGGGAAGAGCACAGATGTGTCGCTTTCATGGTGGCATTTTTGGGTCTGCTAGTGTTTCCTAGAAAGGACGAAAATATTGATATACGTATAGCCGGGGTCGTCAACACCTTGCTTACCAATGCAAAAGCACCCTTGCACCCATGATAGTGTCGGAAATATTCCGAGTCCTCTTTGCCTGCAAGGACGGAGTTGACTTTTTCGAGGGGTGCAACTTATTGTTACAAATGTGGATGATCGAGCACCTATGTCATCATCCTCGGTACATGAATTATGGGTCGACAGGAAAAAGTTACACAGAGGAATTCTATACCAGGGTCGACGGTTTAAAAATGCCAGAGGGGGTCGCAGAATGGATATCTTGCCTCCGCTCTATCACAGCAAATCAGATAGAATGGACGATTGGGGTGGCTTCCTGTTGATGAAATCATATACATGCCAGCCTCCGGTCCCCACTTCCTCCTGATGGGTCTCAGAAGTATCCAGCCTTATGCCCCGTATCGGGTTTTGAGACAACTAGGGAGATGTCAAATAGTGCCCAAAGATGAAGACCTCAGCATCCATGCAGTCGAGATCTATTCTGATGGTCAATTCCATGAAGCACTAGTTCGCCAGATCTAGAGTGAGTGTCAATATTTGATGACGAATACCCGAGTACGAGATCTGTCCAAAGGTGAAGTCTCATCTGATTTCGCTTGGTACAAAAGGGAAGTTGAGTTCTAAAGGCCGGCTAAAAGACCCCACCTCCAAGAATTTGTTGAAGCTTCACAAGAACAGTGGGAGTGGTTGACAAAAGAAAATGAATATCGAGCCACCATAGGCAGGCTGGAAGGGCAAATCAGGGACCTCAAGTTTGATAGTGATGTACAAGCTGCCACAGGTGAGGGTGAGAAGAAAAAGCTAACCCGAGAGAATGAAGCCCTCCGAGCCCAAATTCAAAAAATAAGAATAGCGGCCGAAAACCAAGTAAGAAGCAGAGCAGATAAAAGACTCATAAATGGTCTTAGGAGAAAAGTATCTGAGTACGAGGATGATTTGGCAAAGGCCCAAGCACAGTTGGCGAAGAACGAAAAGGGGCGCGCAGAGTTTGTCCGACAGTTGAAAAGGAAATATGAGGGAGAAGTTACAAACTTGAAGAAAAGGCTAACTTCCCTCGAAAATGAGATTGCCAAATAAGCTAGGAACTTTAAAGCAGAAAGGGAACATTGTTATGCATTAATGTCCCAGTTAGAAGAAGATATGCAACAGCTGCAGGGTCAAAACCATCATGATGCCCAAGTGCTAGAAGCTAGGTCTCAACAAATCGGGCGTTTGCTCCAAGAAAAGGGTATCATCAGGAAAAGGGTCAGAACAATTGCTGACTACATCGTCACAAAGTGCCACGAATGTGAAGACATGACTCAAACCACCTTTTTCTCTGCATTGATGCCCTTTGTTCGACGAATCATGAATGACCTGGATCGTCTTCAAGGAGACCTTGCACACAGGCCCGTGGCGAGACCGACTGATGTCCCGCGGGCCCCTGGATCAACTTTAGAAGCACTTATGTACTCTTGATTTTTGTTTTGAGTCTGTGTTTTAGTTTCTAGTTTTAAAGTATGTTTCGAGTCTGTTTTTAGTTTTTAAATTCCTAGAAAAGTAGGATGGAGTCTTTTGTAACAGAAAGTAGAAGTTTTATTAACGAAAATTTGGAAAACCCCAAAAATTGTTTCTTTATTTTGCATTTATTTCTTGAACTACGTGATGATCTGATTCACACGGCGTCGTGATACGTAGGCAATCCTAATCGGATTCGGTCATATTTTTAAATAATTCGAATAAAAAGGAAAAGAAAGAAAACAAGAAAAAGAGAGAAAAACAAGAGTAACGGGGAAAATGATGACAAAGTGCAAAAGAGAGCAAAAGTTGAAAAGCGCCAAAAGAAAGAAAGTTGGTTTCGCTGAGCTACTTCCCAGGGCAAGTGGAACTTCTAATGTCCCAATAAACTACCCAAACACTCTGCTTGGATATCCTACCATCTCAGCCCACTTTGCCGGAACACCTTCTGACTTCGCCCCCAGGTGTTGATTTCAGGTGTGGCCTCCAACATATTCACTGCGCCACCTTCTTCAGCCACCGCACAACCCACTTTGCCAAGGCCAAACTTTCACCCATCATCCTTCACTTTTCAAGTACCATCCTTCCCACCAGAAACAGCCCAGTTCACTACCAATTCCTACCCCCAACAACCCCGGTATGTGTTTACCGCGGGACATGAGAAAACTACAAATAACCCTGAGCAAGAAGAAATCACTCGGAAGATGAGGAGCATGGAACAGAGCCTTAAGAATATACAAGGTTTAAGTGGTCAGAAAAGCGTATCCTACGCTGATTTGTGTATGTTTCCACATGTCCACCTACCCTTGGGTTTTAAAACTCCCAAATTCGAGAAATACGATAGACATGGGGATCCCATCGCCCACCTCAAGAGGTACTGCAATCAACTGAGAGGAGCAGGTGGAAAAGAGGAGCTTCTCATGGCTTATTTAGGAGAGAGTCTAGTGGGCATTGCATCCGAGTGGTACATGGATCAGGATATATCTCGTTGGCACATTTGGGATGATCTAGCTCGGGATTTCGTCAGGCAGTTTTAGTATAACATAGACATAGCTCCCGACATGAATTCTCCGTCAAATCTCAAGAAGAAGTCATCGGAAAGTTTCGGGGAATACGCTGTTAAATGGCGCGAACAAGCGGCCAGGGTCAAGCCCCCAATGGATGAAATAGAAATGGTGAGTATTTTTCTACAAGCTCAAGAGGCTGATTACTTTCAGAATATGATGTCGGTAATAGGGAAACCATTCGCTGAGGCCATCAAAATTGGTGAGATGGTAGAGAATGGTCTAAAAACAGGGCGCATATTGAGTCAATCTGCCATAAGAGCTACGTCCCAAGCAATTCAAAGCGGGTCCGGAGGTGTAGCAAACAGAAAGAAAAAGGAAAAAGCGGCAATGGCGGCTTCAGGTCCGAGGAACCCTCGTTTACCCAGAAATTACTTCTCTCCAAGCCCCCCCCCCCCCCCACAGCATTATTATCCCCACCAGGATGTGGCTTATGCTATGGCCCCCCAACCGTATGCACTGATGAACGCCCAGCCATACGCTCGGCCACAACAACAGTTTAACCAAAACAGAGCTCCACCTCCTAGAAATAACCCTCCCCACCAAGCTCAGTATAATCCCCGACCTCCACAAAATAATTTTCCTTACAATGCCCGTGCACGGGAGCCACCCAGGAGAACAAATTTCAAGCCTATTGGTGAGTCATACTCTAGCCTTTTCCCTAAACTTGTCCAAATGGGTTTGTTGCAACCCGTACCCCAAACCAGGCAAAACCCAGAGTCGCCCTCTTACCGACCCGGTGCTCGATGTGCCTATCATTCGGGAGCGGAAGGGCATGACACTGAAGACTGTTGGACCCTGAAAAGGGCGGTTGAGAATCTCATAGAGCAAAAATGGATAGTGCTGAAGGATGAAGATGTGACCAACAACCCATTACCGGCCCACAACAATGGACCTGTTATTGGGATGATTTGCGAAGATAAAGAGTTTGATCCCGCCTTGAAAGCCATCATTGCCATCACTGATGTTGAGAAGAAACCGAAGGCTGCTGCAAAGCAAGATAAGGGGAAGAAGAAGAATGAACCCACCCCTCAAAGTGCATAAAAGGAAGTAGAAACCAAAACTGGGCAGTACCCCCAAAAGATGCCATTCTTTATGTTCCCCGGGGTCACAGGAAAGAACAAACAACATTGAGCCCTCCAAAAAGGTTCGAGCTGAACAGGGGACCTAAAAATGTACGTTCCTAAAGGGACCTGTGTGGTACGGGGGGGGGGGGGGCGGTAATTTCACCAATGCTGAATGAGCCCGTGGTTATTGGCTGCGCAACCACAGAGGCCCATGGCAGACCCCACTGTCGTCCCATGGAATTACAACAGAGCGGTAGTGACATACAAGGGAAAAGAGGTCCTAGGGGAAGCAAATGAAACTAACCCAACTGAGAAATACCTTAATTTGGAGGATTTGAACAAAGCCAAGAAGAAGCGTTTCCCACTCAAGAAGCCCGTCAGTGCTGAGGAGGCCGAAGAATTCTTCCATAAAATGAAAACTGCTGACTATGAGGTAATAGACCAACTCCGGAAGTCTCCTTCACAGGTCTCACTCCTGTCTCTGCTAGTGAGCTCAACCGAGCATCAGAAAGTGTTGATAAAAGCCCTCAATGAAGCTTATGTTCCGATTGAAACCACTGTTGAACAACTGGAAAGGATAGCAGAAAGATTCTTCGCAATCAACCAGATCTCATTTAGCAAGAATGATCTACCCCGGAAGGGGATGCCCACAATAGAGCCCTTCACTTGACAGTTAAATGCGAGGGGTACTATGTGAAAAGAGTCATGCTGGATGGCGGATCCAGAGTTGATATCTGCCCTCTCTCAACTTTGCAAAGAATGGAGATTGGGTGAGAGAATCAGGCCTAACAATGTCTGTGTGCATGCCTTTGATGACATCAAGAGAGACACCATAGGCGAGATCGATTTGATTTTGACTATTGGTCCTGTAGATTTCGAGGTGCCGTTTCAGGTCCTAGACATGGACACTTCTTATAATTTCCTCTTGGGAAGGCCTTGGATTCACGCGGCGGGGGCCGTACCTTCCACTCTCCACCAGATGGTGAAATTTGAATATGAAGATCAGGAGATCGTGGTCCACGAAGAGGACGAGAATTCAATTTATCGGGACCCGTCAGTCTCATGTCTTGAAGCAAGGGAAGGTAGCGAACATATAGTCTATCAGGATTTCGAGGTTGTGGTCGCCGACCAATGTGAAGAAGGAAGCCCATGTCCTCAACCCTTTCTCTCAAATACGTCAATTATGGTTGCCAAGGAGATGATCAGGCATGGATATAAACCTGGGAAGGGGCTCGGGACATCATTGTAAGGAATTACGGAACTTATTACTCTGACTGCTAGCGAGAAGTTCTTTGGTGTAGGCTTTCAGGCCACGCCAGCTGATGAAACATGGGCGAATGAGCGGAAGAACGATGGTTGGGTCTTGCCTCAGCCAATCCCGCATCTGTTCGAAATATTCGTCAAGCCCAAGTACACAGAAGAGGAAGATGAGGCCTTCACGGCCGAGGAGATTGAAGAAATATGTGGGGCTATGAGACAGATGTTGTATGAAACCCACATGGTCCGGCCGGGAGAAGGCTCAAGCACCGCTGAGGTGCTGTATATGGGGCCCAATGCCAAGTTGCAAAACTGGAAGGCTACTCGGTTCCCAGTCAGGCGGGAATCCCGATATCCAGTCTTGCCACCTTTTCTACATCACGAGTTATTCCAGGGTGTAACTCGGATGTTTCCTTTAGTTTACTGTCTTTAAATTCCAATGTAAACCCTGTTATCTTCAAAATTCAATGAAATGAAATCAATATTTCATCGTTCATCTCTCTCTTTATTCTTTCTGATTTTTGTTACTTTTTCTTATTTCTTCTTTCAGTTCTAATAATGCAGCTTTAAATAACATAACATGCTTGCGGACTTCATGCCCAGATCCAAACACATTGTCTAATTGTGAAATAACGAATCAAGAACCGGAATATGATGAAGAAGAGGCTTTTAGGGAAATAAATCGAGAATTGGAACAATTTAAGAATAAGCCTAAGTCAAATCTAAATGAAACCGAGCCGGTAAATTTGGGTAATTCAGAAGAGGTCCAAGAAACCATGATAAGCATTCACACAGATGAAAGAACTAGGGATGCCCTGATCCAATTTTTGTTTTAATTCAAAGATGTGTTTGCTTGGTCCTACGATGATATGCCAGGATTAAGTGTCGATCTAGTGGTGCACAAATTGCCAACTTACCCCGATTGTCCCCCTGTCCAGCAGAAACAAAGAAAGTTCAAAACTGACATTAGTGACAAGATCAAAGAAGAGGTCACCAAGCAAATGAAAGCGGGTGTGATCAGAGTGGTCTGATACACCACATGGTTGGCTAATGTAGTCCCTATGCCAAAGAAAGACGGGAAAACCCGAGTGTGTGTTAACTATCGGGACTTGAACAAAGCAAGTCCCAAAGACAACTTCCCTTTGCCAAACATCCACATCCTTGTTGATAACTGTGCCAAACATGAGATACAATCTTTCGTGGATTGTTATGAAGGATATCATCATGTGTTGATGGATGAAGAGGATGCGGAAAACACAGCCTTCACCACACCCTGGGGCACCTATTGTTACAGGGTCATGCCTTTTGGTTTGAAGAACGCCGGGGCAACATACATGAGAGCTATGACTACCATCTTTCATGACATGATGCACCAAGAGATCGAGGTATATGTGGATGATGTGATCATTAAGTCCAAAACACAAGATGACCATGTTCGGGACTTGAGGAAGTTTTTTGAGCATCTGCGCAAGCATGATTTGAAGCTAAACCCAGCTAAATGTGCATTTGGAGTCCCGTCTGGGAAAATTTTGGGATTCATAGTCAGTCGGAGGGGCATTGAGCTAGATCCAACAAAGATAAAGTCTATTCGGGATTTACCTCCTCCAAGAACCAAGAAAGAGGTTATGAGCTTGTTGGGAAAGTTGAATTACATCAGCCGGTTCATTGCTCAGTTGACTTCCACATGTGAACCCATATTTAAGCTGTTGAAGAAAGATGCAGCGATCAAATGGACAGATGAGTGTCAAGAAGCCTTTGACAAAATCAAAGAATATTTGTCAAACCCGCCAGTCTTGGTTCCACCCAAACCTGGGAGGCCTTTGTTTTTGTACCTGACAGTCTTGGAGGATTCTTTTGGCTGTGTCCTCGGGCAACATGATGTGACCGAGAAGAAAGAGCAGGCAATCTACTATTTGAGCAAAAATTTCACAAGTTATGAAGCCAAATACACCTTGTTGGAAAGGACTTGCTGCGCCCTAACTTGGGTCGCCCAGAAGCTTAGGCATTACCTGTTGGCCTACACCACTTACCTCATCACCAGGTTGGATCCCTTAAAGTACATATTTTAGAAGTCGATGCCCACGGGAAGGTTAGCAAAATGGCAAATCCTGCTCACTGAGTTCGACATAGTCTATGTCACTCGCACGGTAATGAAAGCTCAAGCTCTAGCACATCACCTGGCTGAAAACCCTGTTGATGATAAATATCAGCCTTTGAGTACCTACTTTCCGGATGAGGAAGTAAACTTAGTTGAGGTAATTTTGGAAGACACCAATGCTTGCAAAAATGTTCTTCGATGGGGCAGTGAACGCAAAAGGGTCGGGATTGGGGAAATTTTGATCTCACCCACTGGTCAGCACTATCCAGCCACAGCCCGGCTTCGGTTTTTCTGCACAAACAACACTGCCGAGTATGAAGCGTGCATTATGGGCATGAATATGGCAATTGATCAAAATGTGAAAGAATTGGTAATCATGGGAGATTCAGATCTGATTATCCGACAGGCTCAAGGAGATGGGGAAACTCAGGATGTCAAGCTTATACCATACAAGCAACATGTGGAAGATCTTAGCAAACGGTTCAAATCCGTTGAGTTCAGGTACGTCCCTCGGTTTCACAATGAGTTAGCCGATGCACTCGCTACCTTGGCCTCGATGTTGCCATATACAGGCATGGGTATTGCAATACAGTTGAGGTGGAGCCAAGTGTTCAGCCATGGTACCATGATATCAATATGTTTCTGAAAACAAAGGAATATCCCGAGCAAGCCAGTAGAGATCAAAAGAGAATCATTAGAAGGCTCGCCGGTGGTTTCTTCCTGAGCGGAAAAGTTTTGTACAAAAGAACTCCAGATTTGAACCTTTTGAGATGTGTGGATGCCCAAGAGGCCGGAAAAATCATGAATGAAGTACACGCAGGAGTATGCGGACCTCATATGAATGGATACGTCCTTGCAAAGAAAATCCTTCGAGCAGGGTATTACTAGATCACCATGGAAAAGGATTGCTTCAGCTTCGTCCGAAAATGCCACCAGTGTCAGGTACACGGTGACCTGATTCATGCACCTCCTTCAGAACTGCATCCTATGTCGGCCCGATGGTCATTCGTTGCTTGGGGTATGGATGTCATTGGTCCAATCGAGCCAAAAGCTTCAAATGGACACAGATTCATACTAGTTTCCATCGACTACTTCACAAAATGGGTTGAAGTAATCACTCTCAAAGTTGTCACTAAGAAAGTTGTGGTGGACTTCGTGCACTCCAACATCATTTGTCGTTTTGGTATTCCTACAACTATCATTACGGACAATGCTGCAAACTTGATTAGTCATTTGATGAGGGAGATATGCGAGCAATTTAAGATCACGCATCGGAACTCTACCCCTTATCGGCCCAAAGCTAATGGTGTTGAAGCAGCGGACAAGATTATCAAGAAGATTCTTAGAAAGATGATCCAGAGTTCTAGACAATGGCATGAGAAGTTGCCGTTTGCATTGATGGGATATTGCACAACTGTGCGCACATTGATCGGAGCAACACCCTATCTTTTGGTTTATGGCACTGAAGCTGTAATACCCGCGGAAGTTGAAATCCCTTCCCTCCGAATCATTGTTGAAGCTGAAATTGAGGACAGTGAGTGGGTCAAAACCCGTCTAGAACAGTTAACCCTGATTGATGAAAAGCGAATGGTCGCAGTCTGCCACGGGCAGTTGTATCAACAAAGAATGGCCCGTGCCTACAACAAGAAAGTGCGGCCTAGGAACTTTGAAGTGGGGCAACTCGTTTTGAGGCGTAATCTCCCTCACCACCAGGAAGCAAAAGGAAAGTACGCTCCCAACTGGAAAGGCCCGTACATTATAAGAAAGTTGTTGCCAAAAGGTTATTGTACTTGGGCGACATTGAAGGAAATGATCCCGAAATAGTAGTAAATGTAGACGCAGTCAAAAGGTACTACGTTTAACCCGTTTGTGGTACCAGTATTATCTGATTGGGATGACGAAGGCTTTCATTCACGCTACCCCAACACTTCTACCCTTTGCTAGCCCTTTGAGCCGGTTACCTTTCTTTCATTACCCTCTTTGGAACCCGAAAACGTTTGTGAAAAAA